ATAAGGGTGGTTTTTTTTTTTTGAGTGCACAGATGACATGATGCATGAAATGTTTAATTTCAAATTTTGTCCTCAGAACAGTGCCTACAATGGCCTTTCTGTTTAGGTCAGGTTCAGAGGGTTCGGTTCAGAGATACTTTGACTGGTCGCTTTGACCAGTGTCAGAGAAGTTCTGGTCAATGCCACACTTCTCTCACATTTCTAGCTCATATGATTGAATGATAAGATGAGCCCTCCCCATCTGCAATTCACACTCCAAATCTGTGTATCAGAATTATCAACTTTTAAAAGGGTGCGTAAATGAACTAGCTTCATCCAATAAAAGGTATTTGTTTATTTACTTTTTTTTTAAGTATTTACATTTGTTTAAATTTTTAATATAATGTTTTTGTCCGTTTATTTATATTCAAATGTGTTTGTATTTGTTCGTTTAACGTTTGCCAACTTTTTCATATAATATTAAGCAACCAACATTATCTTTTTATCATTTTATTTCATGAAAAAAATGATGAAATGCGCGATTAGTCCTTAAATTTTTAGGCTTCACAATTTAAACTTCAAAATTCACTTTAAGTTCAATTTTATTCCTATCTTCACTAATATCTAAAATGTAGAAGAAAAAAAAGAACTGAGTAAATGAGTCGATAAAAGAGCTTATAAATGAGACAATAGACGAGTTTGTTCGTGAACATAAACGAGTCGAACACACATCTATTCGCGTCAATTCATTTATTAAATGAATAGAATAATTTTATTCATACTCATTTATTTAGCTTAATAAACAAATATCCTACGAACAATTTGTTGAATACTTTGTTCATTTTACACTCTTTAGTTGCTTGAAGTAACTTGTGTTTCGAGAATCATTGAGCAACTTTAGTGGTAAAATAAAATGTCGTTCTCTTTAAAAGATACGAGTTTAAGTCGTTGTGTCTACAAAGTATATGCGTTGTCAATAAACTAAGAAAATTTTTAAACCTTGTAATCACTACCTACATACTAATAAAAAAAACTTGCTTTTGAACAATAAAGATTAGGTTTTTGGCATCTATATATATATGCTTTCATTGAAGATAAGCCCAAATGCACAACAATTTGCTTATATTTAACTTTTTTGTAGTATTACAACCAACCCATGTTTAAGACAGGGGAGTTCAAATACTTGACATGAAGGAGATGAGAGAGATTTAATTAAAACGTAATTAGCATCATCAAGAGAATTACTTTGGATCAGACTGGTTTTTATTGGAAGCCAAAGCAATGATGGAATTAGCAAGCCTGTTAATGGCACCAACCAGTCCATCAATTCCTCTTCTGTTGATTTCTGTCTTAGATTCCTCAATCTGTAGCCTCCTCTCGTGTAAAACAACAAGGTCTCTATGTCTTCTCTCCTCATTCTCCTCACTGGCCAGTATGGCTTCTGCTATAATGGAAGCACTTTTAAAGATTGCAGTGCCATGTTCATCTGAATTGTTTGGACTAGCAGTGCCTTCCCCATTACCTCCCGATCTTTTCCTTCTCTTTGCTACGGAGTCTGAGTGCTCACTTGTATCAGAATCTGAGCTTTCACGTACATCTCCGACACATAAAAATGGAACCAATAAAATCATTCAGTAGTTCAATATTAAAATCAGTGCACCATCATGGTATGCAAATAGGGTGAGAGAAACTAGACTCCAAGCTAAATAGTTTGACTAAACTCAAAAAAGTTTCACATTGGAGTCGGTTATAAAATATAATTTGAATAATTCGAAATTTTTAATAATTAATGAATTGATTTTAAAGATTGAGTCGAATATCTCAACTCTACATGATATATGTATATTGTATGTGTAAAAAATATGAAGAAATACATATGTATATTGTATGATTATAGAAAATAGTTTAAATTGGAATGAAATATTAATGTAACAATATGAATATTTATAATTAAATTTAAAAGAATTGAACAACTCGACTTTATTTACTCAAATTTTATAAACTCGAATTTATTAAAAGAATTTCAAATAAACTTTAAAATATAAAATAGTGATTATCAATTCGAATAACACAAAATTTTTTACTTATTCCACTTGATCAAATATACATCCCTATAGGTAAGTATGTAACATGGCGTGTCAAAATCATTGGAATTTGTGCAGTGCCACAGAGAAAGAATATGTGCACGTGAGCAAGCGAGAGAGGGGAGAGTACCTACTGTTGGAAATGGCTGAGCATACGAAAGGGATGGTTGTAGAAGTGTAGGAGCAGCTGTTGGTGGCGGTGGCAGCGGCGGCAGCTGAGGTGGTGCTGTTGGAGGCAATGGAATCGCAGCTGGAATAGGTGGAAGTTGACGTTGCAATGAAGGTTGCACGCTAGTAATTGGTGTATCCATAACATAAGGTATGTTATGAACGGCAACCGAGCCACCACCACTAGCACCACCGGTAGCCACCGCAATCTGACCACCTTTCTTCTCCACCACCTGCTCCAAATGCTCAAATATCTGCCTCAACATGTTAGTAGGCAAGATCTTCTCTTTTCTTTCATTCTTCTCCATCTCCCAATAATCACTACCACTCTCACCTCTTCTCCTTTGGTACTCTCTCACTTTCTTGTAGTCCCTCATGAGATTATCCCATTTGTCATTGCACTGATTCTGGCTCCTCAAACACCCTCTCCTCCAACAATAATCCTCCACCCATTTCCATCTCAGCTCTGTTGGTTTTCCCTCACTTTTCTTCATTCTTCTCTCGTCATCCATCTTCTTCGCCTCGATCAACACCAATGTTTCATTCACAGTCCAGTTTCCTTTCCTGTATTCTCTGGTCACAATACCACCTTGATCAGCCATCGCCGAAAATAACACTTCGACAAGAAAGAAAATGATCAATGACTCAATAAACATCAAAGAAAATGCTGCTTCATGGTTTTTGGTGATTCTTATATGTAAAAGAAGAGGAGAGAACCAACAGAAGCCATTAAAATCATCAAAAGAATCTTCAAAAGTTTAAAGTTGAAATCTAAAACTACTTATTCAAACCACTTGTTCCCACAAAGTGAGGGCAAGAAAAAGAAGGGTGGAAGGAGAGAGAAAGTGTTATGAAAGCAGCATTATAAGAAAAGGCCAAGGAAAATCCACTCAAACTGACACAACAACAAACCCCAAAAATTTTCTCAAGGAAAGTAGAAAGAGAAAGAGAGACTTCTTTTTTTCTAGGAAAGTGTAGATAATTAGGGATGGAGGAAAAAGATATAGGGTTACAATGAAAGCATACTGGAAAAAGTGTATAAGCCTCCAATCATCACTCAAACTTTTAAACTTCCATGTGGCATTTGACTCTAAACTTCGCTGAAAAGTAAAATTCAAGCAGAATTTTGACTTGTATGATCCTCTACTTTAATAAAAGAACGAAGTAAAATCTACATGAAAAAACTAATGAATAACATGGAGCGCTTGAGGCACTGGATATTTCCTGTAAACAAGATCAGACAAGAGAGATCTACATTAAAAGACTAAGCAGCATGGTTAAGAGCACCCTAATCATTTGGTTAGGGTTCTTAAATAAGTCCCATGCTAAGAGAAACTGGTAACAGAAGATGTCACGTGGTAACGTTGGGGGTATTATTATTACATGAAAGATCCTTCAACCGTTTGGACAAGCAATTTAACTATGCGATGACAAGGACAGTTTTGTCCTTTTAAGCAAGGACATGTAAAGGCTTCAGTAACACATCGGCAAGTTTTTTCGCTTTTTATCTATCGGCCAACTAGGTCCAGGAAAAAAGTGGTACAAACACTCCTGCTACGGGGTCACTTTGACTAGGGTTTTGACCAAGGAAGGACCAACCATGGGATCTCATGACTAGTCTTTTCTTTTTCAAGTTTTTGGACTCTAGCCTGCACTTTTCGGTTCACTTTAGATGCACCTATGATAAATCCTTTGGGATAAATTACAAATTTACCCACTTAACTTTAACTTTTTCTCTTATTTCGCTTATTATACTTTTAATTTTTATAACTTACTAACTGAACTTTTTCATCTTAATATTTTTATATAATAAATTTATAAGGGTTTTAAAAAAAATTGAAGTGTCAGTTGCATGAGAACTACTTCCATATGTTCAGGTATTAAAATTATCGTATGATGAGAATTTAGGATGATTATAGATTGATATCCTTTAATATTCATTATTTGAATATGTATTATTTATAAAAACTTATTGATTACAACCCTTTTTGGACTTTTTGATCTGCTAGGCATTGGTTGGGAGGCTGACATTGCTATCTAATTTATCGCGAGTAATTTTAAACATAAATTATGACACTTTAAACTACATAGGAAAAAAAAATACAAAAACGCAAGTTGTCAAATGTAATTTTAATTCATCTTTATCAAATATTTTCTTTTTGAAATTTAATTCTAGACTCAACCCCTTATATATTATATACATTATGCCATCATTGAATGGGTTGAATTAGAAGCTTCCCACTTGATCACATAATTCAATCATAGACTTATACTTAGAAAGCAATATAATTAATCATAAACTTATACACGATGTCGAGAAAAGTTGAGGCTATTGCTCGTGACTTCTCGTCTTTCCTTACCTCGTCATCGGATGTCGTTCACCCCTCCTCCTCCGGACGATTAGACTTATGCTTTAGTTCTACATGATATATGCATATCATAAATGAAAAATATGATATATATATATATATATATATATATATATATATATATATATCGTATATGATTATAGAAAACCGTTTTAATTGGATTCAAATAGTATCATAACATTTTAAATATTTGTAATTAAATTCAGATAGACATCGATCAACTCGATTTGACTCGAATAAATTTTAAACAAATTTTGAGTTATCAAATATGACTCGGTCGAATACTCAGTATATTGAACACCGTGACTTTGACTAACAAAAACAAAAACCAAAATCTCTTCTCAACATAATATAAAGTCTCTTTACATCAATCTCAAAGTGGTAAAAACAACAACGGGCAATGGAGGTGATGAAGAAGATGATCTCTTCAGTAAACGATGAAGATCAAGATGAAGTTTTGCTCCCTGGTTTTCGGTTTCATCCTACTGATGAAGAGCTTGTAGGGTTTTATCTTAAAAGAAAAGTGGAGAAGAAACTATTTACCATTGACCTAATCAAACAGGTCGATATCTACAAATATGATCCTTGGGATCTTCCCAGTATTATTCTTTCTTCTTAAGTTTTACAGTTTCTTAACTTTTTTTTTTCAATTGATGGTAATTAAATTACTGTGAATTATATTGCAGAAGTTAGTAAACTCAATAGTGTTGCAGAGAAGGAATGGTACTTCTTTTGCAAGAGAGGGAGGAAATATAGGAACAATATAAGGCCAAATAGGGTTACAAGCTCCGGATTCTGGAAAGCAACCAGGATCGATAAGCCGATTTACGCAGCCGTCGGCAGATTTCATGATTTCTTAGGACTCAAGAAATCATTGGTTTATTACAAGGGAAGTGCAGGAAAAGGCACCAAAACGGATTGGATGATGCATGAGTTTCGCCTTCCACCAATTCAAGTTCCTACTGATACCAAGAATGACCACTTGCCAAAAGCTGTAAGTATCCATTTTCTTAATTAACTGAGATTAATCTCTCTCCAAAACCTTATTAAGAGGTGTTCTTTTTATCATTTGTAGGAAGTTTGGACAGTTTGCAGAATCTTTAAACGGGTTGTTTCGAGTAGAAAACTTGTTGCATCAGATTGGCAAAACAAGAAGACAAACTTTTCCAGAACAAGCAGTGTCAAGTTCAAGTGTTGTGAGGTTGAAGATGACAAGGAAATGGAAAGAAAGTCGGTGCATGATGATTTCCATGGAGGGTTTGCACTTTGTAGGAACCACAACTCAAATGTTTTCATCATATTTAAACTAGGATGAACTTAGGCCAGTAGTTGACTATACCTTAGGCACATCATTGCACACTGCTATATAGTGACTGCTAAATGTTAGTGGATGCGTATGTAATCATCGACGGTTTAGTCATAGGATATAGTACTTTGATCCTTGATATAATCAATAATTTCTTCTACAAATAGATAGTAATCGATGGATGTGTTGGATCATAAACTTGATCCATTATGGGAGCCTAAATCCAAATCCAAACTAAATTGATGTCATTGCTTACATCATTTAAGTAAATATGTCATTGCTTACATCATTTAAGTAATGATGTCATTGCTTACATCAATTTAGTTAGGTGAGAGTTAGGTATTTGTTGAATTTGTAATGATTTAAATTAGTTTATTTGTGTGGTGTAGGATTGTTCTTAAGTAGTATAAATACCCCTTCCCATTGTAGTTTAAGCATCAAGAAAAATTAAGAGCTTCTAAGTCAGTGAAGAAGCAAAGTCTTATAAGAGTGAGTTATAGTTCTTGTTTTTGAGTGAGAGTGCTCTTGTAATATTTCTTTGAGTTTCAATAAAAGTTGTTTGTGTGAGTGTTTTATTTCCAACAAAGTGGTATCAGAGCGAGTTAGAAAGATCGAAGGTCTCAACGAGAGGAATCCGATGCCGCCATAATTTTTTCAATCTGAGTTCTGATGCACCGCCACGTACCGCCAGAAGGCTGCTGCCAAAAAATCGAGTTTGACTCACCGAGTTGGAGCCCCTTGATCGAGTTGTCCAAGTCCATCCCAAAGTTTTTTTGGCATTCTGGATTCATCCGTGCAATCGGATTTTGCAAATTCTCAATATATTGATAGATATGGCAAATGGTATGGCACCATTCCAAGTTCTGACACTCAACAACAACAACTACGACAATTGGAGTATCAAAATGAAGGCACTTCTTGGATCACAAGATGTGTGAGATATCATAGAGAAAGGCTATAATGAGCCTGCGGATGATGATGTTTTTGCTACTCTTACACTAGATCAAAAGACAACTTTGAAGGATTCAAGAAAGAGAGACAAGAAGGCTCTCTAACTCATCTATCAAGCATTAGATGATGATGGTTTTGAAAAGTTTTCAAGTGCAAGCTCTAGCAAGGAAGCGTGAGAGAAGCTGCAAACCTCTTACAAAGGATCCGAGCAAGTAAAGAAGGTTCGTCTCCAAACATTAAGAGGTGAATTCGAATCCTTACATATGAAAGCATCTGAGTCTATTTTAGATTATTTCTCAATAGTAGTAGCTGTTTCTAATCAATTAAAAAGAAATGGTGAAAAGTTAGAAGATGTGAGGATAATAGAGAAGATACTTCGTTCGTTGGATCCCAAATTTGAGCACATCGTTGTGATGATTAAAGAAACTAAAGACTTGGAATAAATGACGATCGAGCAACTCCAAGGATCATTGCAAGCATACGAAGAGAAGCATAAGAAGAAGCATGAGTTTACTGAGCAACTCCTCAAGCTGCAACTCAAGGATATGCATGAAAGCCAACACAATGATAGAAACCAACGTGGCCAAGGCAGAGGTCATGGACGAGATGGAAGTCTAGGTCGTGGACGAGGTTGGAATTCCAACAACAACAATTCCAACAACAACTATGAGAAAGGGCAAAGCTCAACACAAGGCTGTGAAAGAATCAATCCAAACTCAAGGCATGACAAATCTCAAGTTCGATGTTATAATTGTCAGAAGTTTGGGCATTATGCTTCAGAATGTAGAGCTCCCAACAACAAAATTGAGGAGAAGGCCAACTACGTGGAGGAAAAGACAGATGGCAAAGAAACTCTTTTTCTAGCACGAAAGGAAACTGATGGTGGCCAAGCAAATTCCTGGTATCTTGACAGTGGTGCAAGCAATCACATGTGTGAAAGGAAAGACATGTTCGTGGAGCTAGACGAGTCAGTAAGCGGAAATGTTTCGTTTGGAGATGATTCCACAATAACAGTGAAAGGGAAAGGTAACATTCTTATCCGTTTGAAAGATGACATACATCAAGTTATTTCAAATATCTACTATGTGCCCAATATGAAAAGTAACATATTAAGTTTAGGGCAACTGGTAGAGAAAGGTTATGATATTCATATGAATAATTATAATCTTTCTATAAAAGATGATAAGAATAACTTCATTGCTAAAGTGTCGATGTCAAAGAATAGAATGTTCTTGATCAACATACAATATGATGTTGCAAAGTACCTGAAAGCTTGCTACAAAGATGCATCATGGCTTTGGCATCTTCGATTTAAGCGTCTCAATTTTGGAGGTCTATAGCTGTTATCTAAGAAGAAGATGGTGAAGGGACTACCTCGCATCAACCATCCTGACCAACTTTGTGAAGGGTGTCTAGTCGGGAAACAATTCAGGAAAACCTTTCTAAAGGAGTCAGATACAAGAGCCAAGAAGCCACTTGAGCTCATCCATACCGATGTGTGTGGACCGATCAAGCCAAGATCTCTCGGTAACAATAACTATTTTCTTCTCTTCATTGATGATTTTTCAAGAAAAACCTGGGTATATTTCTTGAAACAAAAGTCAGAAGTTTTTGAAGTCTTCAAGAAGTTCAAAGCAGCAGTAGAGAAAGAAAGCGGTAGAAAGATCAAAGCCATGAGATTCGATCGAGGTGGAGAATTTACTTCCAGGGAGTTTCAAGAGTTCTGTAAAGTAAATGGAATTCGTCGACCAATGACAGTTCCTATATCCCCCCAGCAAAATGGTGTGGCAGAAAGAAAGAACAGAACAATCCTTGACATGGCACGAAGCATGCTCAAAAGCAAGAAACTACCTATGGAATTTTGGGCGAAAGCAGTAGCGTGTGCAGTCTACTTGACAAACCAATCTCCAACAAGAAGTGTATGGGTAAAGACACCGCAAGAAGCATGGAGTGGAAGAAAGCCTAACATTTCCCACTTGAGAACCTTTGGAAGTATAAACCATGTTCACGTACCAGACGAGAGAATAATGAAACTTGATGATAAAAGCGAGAGTTTTATCTTCATCGGTTATGATGCTAATTCGAAGGGCTACGAGTTGTACAATCCAGACAATAAAAAGTTTGTGATTAGTCGAGATGTGGTCTTCAACGAAGAAGGAGAATGGGATTTTAACTCTCATACAGATGACTTCAATTTCTTTCCTCAGTTTGAAGAAGATGAGCAGACAATGAGGGAACAACTAGATGAATCTCAACAAGAGCTTGCAACTCCACCCACTTCACCAACATCAACCACTTAAGGAGACTCATCACCTTCGTCATCGTCAAGTGGGAGTCAAAGTGAAAGAGTTGTGCAACGCACAAGATCTCTATGAGGTAACTAAATGACAAGATAATCTTACATTATTTTGTCTGTTTGCCGATTGTGAACCAGTGAGCTTTCAAGAAGTGGTACAAGAAAAAAATGGAGAGATGCGATGGACGAAGAAATCAAGGCCATCGAGAAGAATGACACATGGGAACTTACCTTACTTCCCAAGGGACATAAGGCGATAGGTGTCAAATGGGTGTACAAAACAAAGCAAAACGCCAAAGGAGAGATTGAAAGGCACAAGTCGAGGATAGTTGCTAAAGGCTATAGTCAAAAGGCTAGAATTGACTATGATGAAGTATTTGCTCCTGTTGCTCGATTGGAGACTATCAGACTAATCATTTCTTTGGCAACTCAAAACAAGTGGAAGATACAACAGATGGATGTAAAGTCTGCCTTCTTAAATGGAGTTCTTGAAGAGGAAGTTTACATTCAGCAACCATCAGGCTACGAAGTCAAAGGGCACGAAGACAAGGTGTTAAAGTTGAAGAAGACTCTTTATGGGCTAAAACAAGCACCAAGAGCATTGAATAGTCGAATCGACAAGTACTTCCAAGATAATGGCTTCAATAAATGTCCCTACGAGCACGCTCTATATATCAAGATCAAATATGGAGATATTTTGATCGTGTGCCTCTACGTGGATGATTTGATCTTCACCAGAAGCAACCCAAACATGTTTAAAGAATTCAAGGATGTGATGATGACGGAATTCGAGATGACAGACATGGGAATCATGGCGTACTACCTTGGCATTGAAGTTAAGCAACAAAAGGATGTAATTTTTATTTAACGGGAAAGTTATGCAAAGGAGACACTGAAGAAGTTCAAGATGGAGAACTGTAAGCAAATAAGCACACCGACAGAATACGGGATCAAGATGTCCAAACATGAAGAAGGCGAAAGTGTAGATCCAACATTCTTCAAAAGTTTGGTGGGAAGTCTACGCTATCTAACTTGTACGAGGCCCGATATTCTTCACGCAGTTGGATTGGTTAGTCGCTACATGGAATCTCCAACAACCACCCATTTTAAAGCTGCAAAGAGAATTCTTCGCTATCTGAAAGGTACAATTGACTTCGACTTGTTCTATTCAGTTTCTAATGATTACAAGCTTGTTGGATATAACGAAAGTGATTGGGGTGGAGACATAGGTAATCGAAGGAGCACTACTGGATTCGTATTTTTCATTGGAGATACTGCTTTCACATGGATGTCAAAGAAAAAACCGGTTGTCACATTGTCCACTTGTGAAGCGGAATATATTGCTGCTACCTCATGCGTTTGTCATGCAATTTGGCTTAGAAATCTATTGAAGGAGATAGGTTTGATACAAGAAGAGCCTACCAAGGTTTGTGTGGATAACAAGTCAACCATTGCCTTAGCAAAGAATCCAGTATTCCATGATCGAAGCAAGCACATCGACATTCGCTACCACTATATAAGAGAGAGTGTTTCAAGAAACGATGTGGAAGTTGAATACGTGAAGTCACAAGATCAAGTTGCCGATATTTTTACAAAACCACTGAAAAGTGAAGACTTCATAAGATTAAGGAACTTACTAGGGGTCACAAGATCAAGTTTAAGGGCGGGTGTTGGATCATAAACTTGATCCATTATGGGAGCCTAAACCCAAACCCAAACTAAATTGATGTAATTGCTTACATCATTTAAGTAAATATGTCATTGCTTACATCATTTAAGTAATGATGTCATTGCTTACATCAATTTAGTTAGGTGAGAGTTAGGTATTTGTTGAATTTGTAATGATTTAAATTAGTTTATTTGTGTGGTGTAGGATTGTTCTTAAGTAGTATAAATACCCCTTCCCATTTTAGTTTAAGCATCAAGAAAAATTAAGAGCTTCTAAGTGAGTGAAAAAGCAAAGTCTTATAAGAGTGAGTTGTAGTTCTTGTTTTTGAGTGAGAGTGCTCTTGTAATATTTCTTTGAGTTTCAATAAAAGTTGTTTGTTTGAGTGTTTTATTTCCAATAGGATGGTCATGTTTTTTAGTGTAGTAAAACTAGATGAAGACTGTAATCACATAATATAATGTCAAAAGAGAGGGGATTTTGTTTAATGCATGGGAATGGGTTGTATATAGTGTGATTTGGATGAAAAATATGTCTAGAATATATATTCTAAAATAAACTTGATTTAATAGAGTAAACAATTTTTTTATTAATATGTGGTAATTACGTGCATACTAATTCTTATTTGACATAATATTATTAGTTAAGAACCATTATTAATATGGTGAGAAAGATTCATCTAATAATTTCTCCGTAGAGTTTTTGATATGTTTATTAAATATTTTATAAATAGTTTTAGAAAAGATAGGGTTAAATTTTTAAGTGGGTGTAAAGAAACTTTTAAGAGTGACATAATTTTAATCTTTTTTATATTTTACATATAAATTTATATAAGAAAAAATAATTAGAATTATTTAGGTGTGAACAGACATTCTTATTTTATATTGAGTCCGTTGTACCAAAAAATAAAGTTGGATTTTTTTTGGTGAATAAAAGAAGTAAAACTACATAGGATTAGTCCTCTACTGTCAATGTGCAATCTGTAACATCATGTTGGACTAGATCAATCACTTCTAGTGATGGGGTGGAGAAAACCAAATGAACCTCTACTATAGTCGCGACAATCTTAGCTAGTCTATCTGTCACCTTATTTGCAGTCCGGCTTATGTGCTTTAAAACAACGTTCCGGTCTCTGTTAATCAACTCATTCACACGGTCTATAAGAGTAAAAATCGAGCATCTCTTAGAGTTTTCCTTTAACATTCGGACAACCTCCAAACTATCTATTTCCACTGTGATTTGCCTCTCTCCTAGATTCCAAGCATGAGAAAGACCTTCATGGATACCCTATAACTCCGCTTCAACTATAGAACATATTCTGATCGCTTTTGAGAATCCAATCATCTAACCACCATTCGAGGATCGAAGGACACCCTCACAAGTTGGATATTAAATTATAAAAAATAAAAAATATACTTAATTGCACTAAAAAAAGTTAGAAACCTAATTATACCATTAGAAATCTTACTACCATATTACATTATAAATAACAAAGTTAAGCATCTAATTGCATAAAAAAAGGATTTATTAGAAAACATATGGTGTATTGGTTCCAAATAAATTTATAATGGGCTTTGAGCCCAAACATACAAATCTGTTTATTAAAAAAACCCTAAAATTCTTCGATTCTGTTTAACGATTGCTTCTGTTTGAGCTTCGCATAGGTTCTTAAATCAAAATCCTTTGTGCAGCTTTCCCCAAAAATTTAGCCGCCATTGTTATTTACGACCGGAGAAAAATAGAGATAATTTAACTGCCCCATTTAGATGGGGAAGGAGAAAGAAGAAGGTTTAGGAAATAATAACATTGAGGATGTCAATTGGCTTTGTTCACTCTCTGAATCCGAACTTGTAAGTTATCATTCTGTATTCAATCTTTTATTATTATTATTATTATTATTATTATTATTATTATTATTATTATTATTATTATTATTATTATTTTAAAATTAATTGAGAAAATTTAAATCAAAGCGAACCCATTTTGCAGGATTTATTGATTAGCTTAAAGAAACTAGCTTTGAAACGTGCGAGTGCATTTGGGCATGTCCAATTGGCGCAAAAGTTCGATTTGAAGATGCTTCGAGCCCTCGGTATATTTTTGGTTCTTCAAGCTTGTTTTAATTTGGTAGTTTGATGGGTTGGTCTTATTTCATTGTTTTTCCGAAGCAATTTTGAGAACATTGGATTTTTGAATTATCATGGTATCTTGGGTTGTTTCTACTATTAGCTAATGTAAGTTATATTGTGAATGAAAGATAATGGCTGTCATGTTATTCCTGCAGTTTTACTGTTGCTGAATTTAACACATTTCAGAGGAAATTTAAGTTTGTAGTTTCTCAGTGTCAGTGGTTTGCTTGCACGTTCATGAGTGGTTAGTAGCATTTTAAGATACCATACACTAAACCTCAATTTGATACATTTCTCTGTTATCATGCTAAGAACTGTTTCTGTGAAAATTGTTTTGAGTTTCCGTGAAAAAGAACTCTAGTATAGAGAAGTACTCTTCTTTGAAGGTGATTTGTGGTTTGAACCAACGTTTGGTGAGAACATAGGAGGTCTGAGATTGATATTAGAACTTACTGTATTTTTTTCATGAATCTGTTCTCATTTAGGCTCTTAGGACATGAATTTTGTGTCTTGCGTTGTGAATCAATTCCATCAAGCTCCGGTTTGCATATTATTTCATTAAATTGGTATAGTTGAACTTGATTCTTAAGTTATGATTTCATTAATCATTAGAATGGTATAGTTGAACTTGGTTTGAGTGTCCGTGAAAAAGAACCGCAGTATAGAAAAGCACCTTTTGCCGGAGATGATTTGTGGCTTGAACCGACATTTGTTGAGAACATAGGAGGTCTGGTACTAGAACTTTCTGTTTTATCTGTCACGAATCTGTTTTCTGTTAGGCTCCTAAGACATGAAGTTTCTGTGTTGTGTTATGAATCAATTCCATCAAGCTCCAGTTTTTGCATATTATTTCATTAGAATGGTATAGTTGAACTTGATTCTTAAATTATGATTTCAATTTTAATAATTTTCAGGCTTCGTTTTGATGGAATGTCTGAGACAAAAGGTTGAGCACTTGTCGCTTATTCCTGGGATGGACGAGTCTGCTGCATTTCTTGATTCTTCAAATTTACTAAAATGTAAGCTTGGTGAGGTGATGAGCATTGAAGAGGTAAATGAAAGTATTGCATTTACAACAAGGAAGGAATTTGTGAAAAGGTATGTTTAAAGATTATCCATTTGAATTTAGATTTCCTATTAAGTCTAATGATCATTTTTCAATTCCTTGATTTCCTTTTTCTTATTTTGGTTGGCAAAGACTGCGGGGAAAAGATGCTATAGTTAGAAGTAATAAGAGACTTAAAGTGAAACATGAAGAAGAAGAAGAAGAAGAAACAGAGGGATAGCAGTAGAAGATGATAACAATACATGGCAGTACTGATGGGATTGATGATTCAGCAACACTCTTATACAGATGATTATTATCTACCATCTCCATTCTACGATAAGAAGTTTTGCAACTTCATCCTGTAGTAAAACAGAAGCGAGATTCGAATAGTATATAGTGAGGGATTCATTCAGGGAAAACAACGTATGTTTCAGGTACTCATTTGACCTGAGTGTCAGTGTGATACAGAATGTAGTCAATTTTGGTACATTTATTTTTCTTTCCAAGCAATGTTATCCCAGTTTTTTGCACCCGCTACTGAAGAATCCGATTTTTCTTTCATGCTTAATTTATCCTTCATGACACAGTAGTACTAACATTAAGATGGCTGTTAATGGAATGGATATGCTCCATTGCTGCAGTTGTAAGCTGTATTGATCACTCGCCTATCGACAGAGGTACGAATATGATACGAATGTATGAAGATAGGTGGAAGTGCAAATAGATACGAATGTATGAAAGCATCAAAATTGGTTATGATCAAAGCAAATACATTATGCATACACATTATTTAGATTAAGATCGAGTAATTTTCCGTCTCTTCGCATAAAATAAGCTGTCGAGTTAATTACAGCTGACAATGATACACGTTAATTAGTATCACAAGGAACCTAAAGTATTTATCAGAAATTAACAAATATCAAGTAATGGTGTTGCTCGGTTGCTTAATCTGCTGATGTTGGGGTTCTGGTTTTCTAATAATCAAAGGCCTTTGTGGCAAGACGAGACTTTGAACCTTACCTTTTAAAAATGAGTAAATTGTTGGAATGATCTCGTACCTTTTAATTTTCTATAATTTTTTCTCATCAAATTTTAAAAATATATATTCTAGTCACTTATGTTATCATTTTGTTACGTTTTAGTTACTGATATTAGTTTGATGATGTGAAATGATAGTAAAAAAAGTTTAATTTTTATTTTAATCCTTAAATTTTAGATAAAAAATATTAATTATGGGTTGTTTTAAACATAAAATAGTTTAGGGACAAATTCTTAATTTATTCATTTTTTAAATGGTTTTTTCAACTACCACCTTCGTTGAAACCCTAGCTTCCCCCAACTTGTGTCGCAAGCCATTGTCCCTAGGTTTCTTGTTGTTCATCTTCCATGTCTCCAATCGTACACTAAAACCTCTTTGCCTCTCTCATCTAAAACTCAAATTCACTTCATACAATTTGCTTGCTCGTTTGCCGCCACCTATTATGCGCCATCATTGAAATCCGACTTTTGTAACTCAAATTAAATCATTTGGTAAAATAATTATTTTTGTATATTTTTATTTTAAAAAATAATAATTTCTAATAGTTTAGATTTTTTATTTTTAAATAATTATACTCCCTTAACATCAAATATAACTCCTTTATATGTATTAATGTATTATAATATGAAAACGTGAAGCTTGGAAATTCATAATTCTGACTGCCGGAGGTTTCCCACGGAAGCTACTCTTAACTTGGCGTTGACAGCAGCCAACTATCCTACCTCCCCTTACCCCATTATATATGGGAATAGGGTCAGCTAATTTATTTTATTGTAGAAGCAAGAGGCCCCCAATGTTTTGAGTATCTTGTAATGTAGAACATGTCTCTTCTTCTTTCTTCCCTACACATAATCTTTTGCTTCCACCCATCAACAATTACATATCTTTTATATTTTTTTTATGGATTTGTGGACCTTCGTCATTTCGTATATGTCAAATAGATTTGAATTTGAATTTAAAGATGATACTTCAAAAAATAATCATCATAAATTTTAAAATAATATCGTGTAAAATAAAAAAAAATTAATTTATTAAATGATCTTTTTTTTGAAGATGTATTTAAATTTAAGAAATAGTGGTAAATTTTTTGGATAATATAATGGGAAAATAAATTTGACCGGTGGGGTAAATTTTACTTTTTTAAAATAAGGTGAATGTTATAATACCAATAAGATGTTGCATGGATCATTTGGTATATTTAAGAAGACGCATGAAACATACGACGTAATTTCGCATTAGTTTTTGTATTTGTCTTCTTGGTCTTTCCAAGCTCCATCAGTAGTGCCTGTTAGCCCCTACACCTTTTGGTCCAACAATGGCTCAGGTAAGATCACCCTTGGTCAACTTAAGGACACTAACAACTATATTAGCGTTTTCGCGTTGGAGGTTGAAAAGACGTCGATTCTTCTATTTATCTTCATAAAAATGTTAGTAATTTATACCTCTTTTTTTTTTTATCCATTTTAAAGACCACTCTACTTGAAAAATTAAAATTCTGACCATTTTTTTAAATTACATCATTATTTGGGTGATTATATCGGTAAATAATTGAAATTTTGTATAATAGTAAGTCAATCTCATCAAAGAGGGACCATCACCTCACTACCTCAACAACCGAGGAATATATGATGACATTAAAGTAGTAATTGGAAAAGGTTGATTAGTGTTGAGAAGAACTGATTAATTATGGCCCCCTTTGTCCCCCTCACCACACTATTATTTCTTAATTTCACCCTTTCTACCTTTGAAGTTAACACAAAATACACGACGAAATGATCTTAAAAAAACCCACTTAAAAAAACAAGCTACAGATCGGTATAAGAAAAGTTTATACGGTTTGAAAGCAATACAAAACTTACTAATACATGTTTTGATATATACATAGAGTCGAACATAAAAAGTGATTTCAATGATAAAATATCCGAGTTTAAAATAATCTATAAGATATGTGTTAAGTTTATCAAGAATTAAAATAAGATAAATACTATAGTTAGACCGCATGTATAATTGTAAAAAGAAAAAAAGAAATACATGGGGGGTGAAGGCTAGGTTAAAGAAAAAGTAATATAGGAAGATATGTATATATATATATATATATATATATGTAAGAGAATCTTATCGTATCATAAGGATTAAAAACATTGTGTTGGTTAAGAAGACAACCCCACTAATCACTTTAGATTAGTGGATAAAATGGACGTTGGACCTAAAAGGATTTTGCTTAAGCATCAAGGCACCCACACTTCCCTCCCATCCCCATATGTAATCATCATCAACAACATAAAGTTTCCAACTTTGAGGATTAATCTTTAATTATTTATATGAATGCATGATCTTATGACATTGGGGGGTTTTCATTCAAAATGTCATTGTCATCAAATTATATTTTCGATTATGTTCCCATCTCAGGCCCCAGGCAGGATCTCACCATTGTAATCAAGATCATATCTTTTCTACATTAACTAATTTTTATTCATGAAAATGAAGTCTTGGTTTCATTTTCCATGTCGGAGAATGCTTTTTAGAAAACTAAATTTTAATTTCATAAAAAATCGAAGAAAAAAGTTCAACTATCCTAAAATTAAGGCATAATATCAAAATTCATTTATGACATTTTACAAAAATAACTATTTTAACGTTTATTCTTCTTTTTTAAAACCTTTTTAATCTCAACATTTCATTTTAGGATAAGATATTCCTTGATCGAATAAAAATCGTTAGTTGAATAACGGTCAATGCCTATCACTGATGTGATAAGTCTTTTGTGTCTAAAGTGATGATATGGTACGTGCCACATCGATCACTTATGTACACGTAACATGTGTCATATCATCAGTTATATGTGGTACGTGCCATATCATCACCTATGTACACGTGACATGTGCTACATCACTACTTTGGACACATAAGGCTTGTCATGTTAGCGACAAACATTTACCATTAATTAATTAACGATTTTCATCAAATCAAGATTATCATATCTTAAAATAAAACGATAAGGTTAAAATATTTAAAAAATTAAAATTAAAATGATTATTTTATTAAATATTACCAACATTTTTGATATTATGCCTAAAATTAAACCATGCCATTGTTGGCGGTTAAACCCAAGGAAGAAGTAAAACTTTAGAAATATGCATGCTTTGGAGGTAGAATCATTGCGTTAGGTGTTGTAAAATCATGCAAATTGCAAAAACACAATCTAATTCGAGCCCACACTTTGTGTGATGTATTTTTCTTTTACAACTTTGGTTAAAACGAAAGAGTGAAAGTGAATGAATTCAATGAACATATGGATTTGATACGTCAAATCTTCAGATATCTGGTGTTTGTGGCAGCCAGCCTATAGCATGCGCACCCATGTTTAATCTCTGCTTCGGGAAACATTCTTTGAGCAGACAGATATGGTATCAAATCACTTAATCACAAATTGGTTGGTAGAAGAGCAGAAATCGATACACGAAATTATAAGAGAGATGTTGTTTGAATAAGATTAGGACTGGAAATAGTAACAGGCAAAGAGAATAAAGATAAAGTCAAATACAGGGGTTTATGGATATAAACCATTGACGTTGACATAAAAGTTGTGGTGAAAAATTGGATGTCGACTACCCAATGTCTCAATTGTACGCTGCCAATTTCTTAGAAAAGAATGCAACTAGCTTGATTTGCAATAGACTATGCATATAGCCATTTAGTTATTTAACTATTTTAGTTCCGTTTTGGTTATTTTCTTTTAAAATCGTCATTAACATTACGTTTTTGATTTTATTTTTTAACGGTGGGTAATCAAAACGTAAAGATAGTAATTATTTTGAAAAAAAAGTAATTGGATGACTAAAGAAGAACCAAAAGTGATAATCGGATGACTGAATATGTAGTTTAACCATAAATTTTATCTCAGCTTTGATCACAAGGGAATCCAATAAAAAGAACTGTTGCGGAAAACTTGAAGGTAGCATACGGCCACCCATCACTTGGGCATCAAAAGGAGTACATGGGATAAAATCCTGAGTCTGGAATCATTGATTATAAACTGAATGGTATAGAAAGTATAGATAAACTAAAGTAATTTGAAATGATTGTTTTTGTTTAATAGTATGAGATGATTACAAGATATTATTTGTTCATAATATTTTTTTAATTATTAACAATGCAAGCTTCTAAAAACTCATTTACCCTGTTTTGATTAGTGAAAGAGCTGGGAAAAAGCTCTAAGTTAAGAGGGAAAGAGAAATTAACCCTTGAATGATTTGATGGAGTTTCCAGTAACTAGGAAGTTAAGGTAACACATTTACTATTTCTTCATATCATTTGTGAATCATTAAAATGCATCTAGCTAGGGAGTTTGAGTTGTAGAGCATACATTGTAGATTCACGAATTTG